GAGGAGAGCTGCATGCCTATTTTGGGCTCTGGCTGTTGATGGATATGCATCCGAGGTCAGATATTGAAATATACTGGAAGGACCCACACTTCTGCTTGCCTATATTCCCAAAGACTATGTCATTAGATCGTTTCATTCATATAACGCAGAATCTCCATGTAGTGGATAATAATAGGACACATCCTGGTGATGACTACCTTTGGAAGCTTCGTCCAATGATAAGTACACTTAATCAGCAGTTTTCATTAGTGTATACTCCTCCCCAGAAGATAACGGTTGATGACAGTCCATGGGGGTTGAAAGGTCACTTTGGTTTGAAAATGTACAAGCTGTGTGTCAGTGATGGCTTGACTGCAGGGTACACTATTGCATTCAGTATGTACTCAAGTTTTAACAAGAGAAGACTCCCTTCACCTATGAGAGCCATTGTTGAGCTTATGGCTGCCACAGATCTCTTTAGGAAAGGGTATGAGCTGTATACCAACACCAGGTATACCTCACCTACTCTTTTCCAGTACTTACAGAGTCAGCATACAAATGCAATTGGAACTGTGTACACCATCCGAAAGTATATGCCTATTGATCTTCAGACAGTGGCCTATGGCGATATGGATTTCTGTAGCACCCCAACAGGCATTTTATGCCTGCAGTGGCACAATAAGGAGGAGCCGATTACCATGCTATCCACAGTCCATTCTGGAATGGTCACTGATACACCCCAGAGTAAGAAAAAGTGTAAGAAGCCCAGTGTAGTCTCTGACTATATTGCTGTTACGAGAGGAGTAGATCTGTCCAACCAGTTTTTCCAGTCCTATCAGTATGTTCGAAAGTCCATAAAATGGTATAAGAAGGTGATATTGTACCTTCTTGACATAGCTGTAGTGAACTCCTACTGCATACACCAGGCACTGGGAGGGACATTAAGCCAGTTTGATTTCCAAGAACAGCTCATCCGTGAGCTTATCCAACAATCCACTGCCACAAGGAGGGGATTGTACCAAACGAAGAAGCCTCGTCTTCAGCGAACAACATCACATCATCAGCGTGTGGTTTCTGACAGGCAATGTCGCCGCTGTAAGATGTGCACGAAAAATGGAAAGAGGAAGGTGACCAGGACCATGTGCAGAGACTGTAAAATACCCCTTTGCAAGTATGGGTGCTTTGAGATGTGGCATTCACAGGCATAAGCAGAGGTCACCCTCCTCAACCCTATCATTGTTATCAGTGATTATGATGACTAATACTAACCTTACAATATGGTAAAACAAAGAAAATTAATTACCTGGGAAAGGTTTTATTTTACAAGTGCATGTAAAGGCAAAAAGGACAGGACATGTAGCAGCACTTCCTTGCTCTAAAACAAACCAGTCTGAAGTGCTGCATGGCAAGCACTAGCTCCAGAGTAGGGCCCATGCTAATAAATTAGTTCCTTGTATGCAACAGGTTAATTCTTTATTATGTTTTGAGTAGATAGCAAAGTATCCCCTTAAAACCTGTGGTGTTTTAATGTGGGATCCCTTTCATGAATGTCAGAATTTTATACTGTGCCAATGCAGGGGTAGAAGAATCACTATACACATGTATATTACATGGTAAGGCAAAACGTGAAGATTTCCTTTGGGTTTGGAGTCGATAATAAATGAAAAACACTATCATGGTAATGTATTGGAAGGAAAATCTACTAAAAACGAAACAGGTTTATTGAAAGATGAAACATTTTATGTATGGGGATTTTCTAGCATGGAATCCTTTATGTTTTAGGCAAAGTGCCATAGGACATTTAACTTTTCCTGTTGTAATGTCATAAAATAGATTCCATCTGTTGTATAATGTAACTTGATAGTCAAATAAATGTTTTCTTTTGTATTGGCTGTTGTATTTCAAACAAAACTATTAGGTAAACGCATGCTTTATTTACATTTACTTTCAAAATAGATCAATTTTTACATTTCATCAGAGTAACTGCATAGGGGACAGTTAATTACTGTAGCAAGATATTGAATATATGTTATCCTTCTCTCTTGTAGTTACCTATAAGGAACTTTACAATAATTTACAAAAGTGAAGTACAGAGTTGCCTAAGGAATAACTACCATACTATTCAACATACCAGAAACAAAATATTGAAAAGAAAAAAAAAATCATATTTAAAGAAAGAGGTAACCACCTCAAATTGCCTACAGGTGACATACCAGCAAGGCAGTTTCCCCCAAGATTAGCATAAAGAGCCTTATAAAGTACCTTATCATTAGTTATGTAGAGTATGCAGACATGATGGTCTATGAACTCTGCAATGGGTATAATACTACTGCATTTCAAGCATAAAGACGTTCCCAATCAAATGGCTATCTATAGTTTGTTTCAACACATCAACAATGAGAATTATAAAGACGAAAATGATAGCAATAATGATGATAATATATGTGATGATACTAATAATGTTGATGATGATTATCATAATGATAATTATAGTATGATTATTATTATTTATTTGACTGTCATGTTATCAGTATTATCATTAATAATATTGTTATTGATATTATTTTTGTAACATTAACAGTATAGTGATAATATATAATAGTGATATATTGATAATTTATAAATAAGAAGAAAAAGTGATAACAAGGATGATAATAACATTAGCAACAATAACAGTTACATCAATTTCTCATGCTTTAACCAAATGAAGAGAATAAAAATATCAATGAACAACAAAAGAGCATAAACCAGTAAAAATTGGACAGTGTGTGTGTGTGGGGGGGGGGGGGGTGCACGCATATGTGGGTGTGTATGTGTGTGAGAGTTTGTGCGTGTATATTGTATATTGTTATTAATCCTCATACTTTTATACTTTTATAAAATTTAAAAATTAAATCATGTAACCTTAACATACGTCATAGAGATGGAAGTACATATGCTAAACTTAACAGAAACAAATTATTTGAAAAAAGACTGAATTCTGAGTATGATAAAGACCTGTTGCTCACCATACATAAACCAAGCAATATATTGATGGTGTCAGACAGTTTAGAATACACATGCTTACCTTTTTTTCCAGAAAGTTTGTACCAAAAAAAAAAATATTTTTTCAATATCATTTTATTTTTATACCCTTTCCTTTATTTTTTTTTATAGTAGGCTTGTGAAATTATATGCTATGTCACTCACTGACAGATCCATGAAATCTTGAAGGTCGACAATAAAAAAAAATCCTTTATATTGCATGCAATGTTTATTAATGTATGTACAATATTAGATTCATATTAGTACAAACAAATTACAGTATTACCAGTATATGGTCTATAGCACTGTAAATGGTAGTTCTAGCAGGATTAACTTTGATATCAGTACCAATCAGAACCAGTTCTAGACCTTTTCGGAATATTGATCCTAGTAAGTAAACTGTATACCATCTAGAATGACACTAGAAACTCAGATCAATAAAGCAGGGAACAGAAGTAAAGGGGCAAAATTTATTAGGAATTGTATGGGAAACTGGTATGACATGGAAACAAAAATCTTGATACCTCAACAATGTTTTTCCTATTTCTGTGAGCAACAACTTGACTGTTTTTAATGGGATGTTGTCTGTGTTTAAACAGAAATGAGAAATATGATTTTTTTCATTTTAGAAGATTTTTTTTTTTATTGAGGAAATATGTTCAGATGCCCTTTAAAACAATCAGAAGAAAAAAATAAAAGAACCAGTTTTCTTGAGCACTGGTTATGAATAGGGAATTTTCATTTCTGAAATGGTTTTGTAATTTTTTAATGTAAACTAGAAAATTTTAAGAATTAGTAATATAGACAAAATCCTAAATAAAATGAGTAATAGTACAAGATTACGTAAAAAGCCACAAAAAGAATGGTGAAATTTAAATATTATTGATTTCCAGAATTGATATATAAAAAGCATATGTTTAAAGAAGTTCTCATTCATAGTATGATAATTTCAGAAAATAATAAACAAAAGTTTTTACGTAATAGATTTGTTTTTGGCAGGGTTTATAATTTATTGCGTCACTTCATATTTTCTCATTGTTTGCAGCTACCTGGGCTTTAATGAAGCATGAAGTTTGACAAATTATATACCATGTTTATTGTGATACACTAAGAATTTCATGACTAGCTTCCTGTGAGGTTCGCACGACAGATATAAATAGTCATTATCAGATTCTTTTTCAAGTGAATTACAGCGTTGGTTCCCTTATTAGTTAATTCCTGCGTCTTCTATCATAAAATATTGAACATAGATTGATTCCGTAAAAAATTTTGTGTGCATGTATGTTCCTTGGGTGTAAAGAGAAGAAAAAAATTGTGTTTGTATATATTGAAATTGAAGATTGTATAGATTGCATGTTTTTCTTTTCTTTTTCATTTTTTTTTTAAACACTGCACAGTGTAATGTTTTTTTCCTTACACTGTATTCTCTTTTTTATGTAGTGTGTCTGAGAAAGCACCTTAACTTTCATGAAAAGATTGAAAGCCTTTTTTTTTTGTTTTTTTTTTTTTTTTTTTTTATGTGAATGAATTTCTCATTCTGGGTTAAGGCTGATCAATAATATATTCAATATTGCTTGAATCAGATTTTGGATCAAGTTGTTATCTGATGTCAGTAAATTACCGAAACACAAAATGCAACTTCACCAGATCTCACCCAAAAATTTCACTGAAATGGCCCTTCCAAATGACATCACTTTTAAAACTCTATTTTCTCATGGCTTTGTGTAATATGCTATGCTAGTTCAATCTTATTCATATGTCACCTGGTCTACCTTGATGCTACAGATGTAAAAATCATGTAGAATAGTATTAATTATACAAATTAGGTAGCTAGTAAAACACCACAAAATCACACCTTACACCTTTGGCTAGGGTTAATGAAGGATAGAAGGTCTATATCATTTTTAACATGATTTGGTCCTATCACTACTCTGAATTTTATATCTGTATCGACACTGATGGACAATCTTGACAATACTCAACCTGTGCTTTTCAAGACGCTGGCCACTACAAGAGCTTCACCTTCTCCAAAGAAATGGCAGGCAAACTTCTCTTCTTCGAGGACCCTTGCTCGTGCGGATGCAGTCCATCAAAGGAGGAATGTCATTGATAGCCCACATATTTCACAAGAAAACCACACGATTAAAAAACAGGCAAGTCTGATTATATCATTTTTTTTTCTCTCTTTTTGTGCTGAAGACAAAATGGAGAAAAGGACTGTCTTGTAACAATAGCCTCTAGTTCTTTTCCATATTTATTCATTTTTCTTTTTCCCACCCCTGTAGATAACTTTTCTCACCTGTTCCCTCCTGCACGAGAAATTGTCAGTATCTTCCTTATTAACCATTGCAAATACAGATACACTTCATTAGAAAATATGGTGCTTCCCACTGTTCCCCACAACTCTTCAATCTTCATTCATTTCACTGCTTACCCTATATATTCCTATATCTTTATTATATACTATATCACCCTATATTTAATAGTATATATATATTATATATTATAATTATATACCTACTATTAATAACCCATTCACCTCTCCTCTCCCCCTTATATACACCCCCTATTATATTTTTCCCTCTTACTCTACTACTCTACCTCCCCCAATACACCCTCTACCTCTCCCACTCCATCACCCATCCCCTTCCCGTCTTCTACTCACCTCCCTACTATATACCCCCACTCCCTCCTTCCATTCCCTCTCTCTATTACTACTATCTCCTACTCTATCTCACTCATTCCACTCCACTACTACACTTCCACCTCCCTATCCCTCTCTCTCCGCAAGCATGATCCACGGATATATACTGTAGCAATAGGAACCAACTGCAGGCTCAGGTATACACGTGTATAATATACTACCCGATGAGGCGATTTCTCCGGACGGATGAGGACTAATATGTTTTATGCATTTTGGGAGTTATTTGAGTAGCGGTCGTGTATAGGATAATGCATGAGAGAGTGAGAGAGAAGATGATAATAGTAAGATATAGAGTTAAGATATATAGTAAGATACCTTATACTTAGTATTATAGATACTTATAGATGAGTAATAGTCAAATATATGACATACATGTAGCGTAGTGAGACAAAGAAGTACAGTAATGAATAAGATAATGATAAGGTGAGAAGGTAATAATATATATATATATATATATATATATATATTGTATACACAAATATATATATATACATATACATATCTACACGTACATATATATATATATAATATATATATATATGAATATTATTATTGGATAGATAGTTGATAATATGGGATACGAGATAGATATAGTGAGAGAGGATATAGTATATACGAGAGGGAGTAGTAGACATAGGTAGTAAGGGACGGTAGTGGAGAGAGACGAGAGAGATATAGATATTTAGTAGAAGCACATATAATATATAAGACTAACTATACGAGTATATATAATACATATATGATATATATACATATATATATATATATGATAATGAGATAATAGATAAGTAAATATTATTGAGATAGAGATATAAGACTGAGATGAGAGGATTTGGCAGATTTTCAGGGGTATGTAGGTAGATAGACCTAAGGTAAAGCGAGGTACTAGATATAGTATATATGGATAGGGGAGTATGTTTATATTAAGGATATATAGTATACATAATAATATAATTATTGATAGATAGAATATATTAGGGTTATGACCGATAGATAATGAATAGTATATATGAATCGAGAATGAGTAGCAGTAAGAGGTTAATACAGTTAGGGGATATATATGTATAAATTAGGGTGAAAACGATGATAAATCGGGAATAAACTAGACTAAGTGATAACATATATATATGGAGTAATATTTGAGAGTGAAAGGTGACGAGAGGAGGAGTAATGGTATGAGATGGTTGAATAGAGAGAGTAAAGATACAGTATAATATATGATATATACATAGTAATATATAGTATATATGTATATTATACAATATATATATGTTATATATATGATATATGTATGTATATATATGCTATATGAGTATATAGTATATATATATATATATAATATATTATATATATAATATATATATATATATGTATATATATAGATATATATATTTTAACATATATATATATAATATTAAGACTATATAGATTGATAGAGAGAGATAGTAGAGATAGATGAATAAGTGAAGAGACGAGAGAGAGAAGTATGAGAAGGAGATGAATATAACTATATAGAGAATAGACAGATGAGAAGATGAGAGTGAAAGATAATACATGACATACGAGAAAGAAAAGAACTCGTGCTTAAGGAGCAAAGGGAGACAAGATCACAGCCAAACAGATCAGATAAAAAGATCGATACATCTTCTCACCTTTCGTTTCGACACCTGCCTAAGGACTTCCCTGTTCTTGTCCACTCTGGACATATTCGCTCTACGTGTTATCCATCCCGCGGCCCTCTCACCACGATACATCACCGTGGTTGCCGAATGAATCTCCTGAAAAAACCACAATAATCAACAATATTTCACGCTAGAAAAAGGATCCGGTAAACCCCAAAACTTATTTCACTGTCCCCATAATATAAACATACAAAACTACTCTCATCGCATCTCATCTAATACTCTTTGCTGACTTATATCATCGTGTGTTCTCTTTCTTCACTCTTTTACTTTTACAAAACTTCTCACCCTCTATCTAATTCCTAATAATTGTAAAACAAAAAAAAAAGAAAAAAAAAAAAAAAAAAAAGATTTAAACATGTCATGAAGAAAATGACCATAATAAGTACAGGAAGGCAAATAAAAACAAACAAAAAGATATTGCCATAAAGGAATGATCATAATAGTAAGAAAGAAAAACACAACAAACCCCAAAAAAGATAACTGCCCATAAATAAATTGACCCCCCATAACAAGTTAAGAAGAAAAAATAAATCATCCGGTTTAATACCTCTCCCTTTTTAAAGCGCCTCTCTTACCACTCTACTACCTTCATCATCTACTCATCTCTCGCTGCGTCTCTCCTCTTTCCTCTTTCTTAAATCCCGTTTATCATCAGTTTCCTGCGGTGACCGTCCTCAAATCTTACTCTCTGCTGCAATATAACTACTGCTCTCTACGTACCCTCCTTCTCTATCATCTCACCCTACATATCTCGGCGTGAGTCCTCTCTACATTCATCTTTCCCAACTAACGTCGTCTCTCTATCTTTACTAGTTCTGCCTTTTCACCCCTTTCTCTTCTAGTCTCTCGTGGAATATAAAGATTCCATCATACTAAGGCTCTCTAATATTAATTTGCTGTCACTGTTCTTGCAAATGACAATTCAATAGCCTCTCGCGACTATCCCGGTCAAACACTGCTCTCCCTCCTACTTTTCATATACCTCTATCGTTCCCTCTCTTGTACTCCTAGTCGTGCTTCTTTGCTCTTGTCGCTGCGAACAGTTTTGTCTTGGGCATGTCGGTTCTCGGGTCTGCCGCTTCTCAAGTACACTGTGACCTCTCTGCGTGTCATAGTAGCATTCAAGTCCTACAGTTTGGAATTGCTTCGTGCTGATTTATTTAATATTTCTACTTGAGGTTTAATGTTTGGGCTAAATTACCATAGTACCCCTGTGCCCTCCGTTCTCTGTTCGATCACTCCCTCTGTTCTCTCTCCTATCGTGCGCTTAGCATCACTAACTCTCTATCTCCCTGCGTCCTTCTGATATCTACTTTTGGTCTTCTACTTAACTACTCTGTCTGGCTTCTCCTCTTGTCTCTCTCTCGTCTTCTCTTCTTCTCTCTTTCCGTGGTCTCTCTCTCTTGTCTGTGAGTTCGTTATCTCTTCTTCCTTTGTGTCTCTACTGTCGTGTCGGTTTCTTCATATTTAAAGGTATTTCCATCATTATTATGATACTTAATGGTTCTAGGTTCTCTTTAATCGTCTCTCTTTCTCTTTGTCTCTCTATGGCAGTAGACTACATGGGGTTACAGAACTCATTTCTCGTGTGCATAAAGAAACCTTAATGCTCATTCTTCGAATGATGCATATCTTCCATAACGTAGGTAACTAAAAATTACACCCTTATCCTGATTTAAACAAATATTTTACTACGGTCTAACTTTCTAGTCCTCACTCCTACCCTCTCACTCTACCATCTCCACCATCCCGTCTCTCTCTCTCTCCTCTCTCTCACTTTCCTCCTACTTCCTAGCTCTCATCTCGTTCTCCTCCTCCCTTCTCTCCTCCTCTCCCTCCCTTCCCTCTCTCCCCTCTCCTCCCTCCATTCTCATCTTCCATCTCTTCCATCTCATCCACGACTCTCCATTCCCTATCTCTCACTCCTCATTCCCCCCTCTCTCTCTCACACACAGCACACACACAACACACAGCACACACACAACCACTCACACACCAACTACCCACCCACGTACGCCACAGACCACAACTACACCACCCACCCACACCACACAACACACATCAAGGAACAAGATATCCACCCTCAAAAGTTTCACCTCACCCACACCAAACAAACCTCCAACTTCTCCTGTACCCAACGAGACCCCCAATTAAAAAGTGACAACTTACCCTGTGACCAAGATGAGAACGCGCCTGTCTCCATATTACGGTTCATTTTTCCCTTTACACACTTTGACCCTATCCGGAATATCTGGTCTCACAGTCGCAGGTATTACACTCCTCTCGCACAAAGTCCCCTGTCTACCCCTGTTAAAAGAAAAACAAAGGGTACGTTAGCCTTTATACTTTGGTCTTGTTGATTAAAGACAATAATTTATATATTGTTTATATGCTGTATGAGTAAATATGACTATGCCATTGTGCTGGCCCTGTGTCTTCCCGGGACAGAGAAAGGGATCCTATTTAGCCATATGCTGTCTTGTTATTACATTATCCATATTGCTTATATATATTTTCTCTCTCTCTACGTAGTTAGCGTAGTCTCTTGTCAGTTAAATCCATGCAAGTTCAGTTACTCTCTGTCTATTATAGCGGTGGCTTAACCATATAACTTTCTATATCTTACTATTATATACATAATAATTTATATATCATCTATTCACTATATATATATCATATATACTATATATATATATTATATACTTATAGTACTATGCTAAATATATTTTGCCACACACGAATTTACACTGAACATAACACAGCG